CTTTAATATACTGGAAATTTATATAAGCTACTGGCTGCCTTCATCTTATATTGGCTGTAGCGGGATACTACCTTTTAAAATTTCTTCACTAGCTCTCTAACAGAGACATGGGTAAATGAAAAGAAACCATACTCATGCTGCATTCAGCTCACCTTCTTGAACTGTGTGTCCACTGCTAGTACCTTATAATTATGCTGAAAAACTATAATTTTGTTCTGTTCTATTTGTGAGAAGGCATTTATTAACCTTAATTATAGTTAATAATTCTATATCTTTCAGACTTCCTACATACAATATTTTAAATGTATTTTTATTTTTAATTGATACATGTAATTATATGTGTGGACTACAATGTGACATTTCAGTACATGCATATAATGTGCAATGACCAGATCAGAGTAACTGGCACATCTATTACCTCAACATTTACCATTTCTTTGTTTTATGAGCACTTATACACAGTTTTGAAAGTTCTTCAGGGGTTGAATATATTTAAAATCATATCAAATATATTTTTAAGTATAGACTTACCTATTAAAAATAACTTCTAATAATATTTACCTTCCTATATTGTAGAATGTTCTGTTCTCTCTGACTCGAGCACAATTTTAGAACTACATTTAGGCTCAGAATTAGGGATACCAGGAAGAACAGAGAGCCTGTCAATTTTTAAGTTGTACAAGAAAGAAAATCTCCCCAAATCTTCCCCTCCAATTTTATTAGCCCAAAACTCATCTCACACATGACAGGCTGACTCCTAAACTAAGACAGGCAGCATTTCTCTGATTGGCTGAGACAATCAGAAAGTCTACTTCTCAGCCAGAGAGGAGTTGGCTTCTACTGTTTCACCAGGGCTGCTGGGCAAAGAGGGAACCTGAACATGTGAGTCTGTAAAGAAGGAGCCATGGAAATGTGAATGCTGAAAAGGCAAATACAAAAATATGAAGTGCACTTGCAACTTTTTTATATCAACCAATCAACTAATGGCAACATGTTCAGGTTGTTGATCATAGAAGGCATTTGACAAACGCTAGTAGATAAACCAGGAAAATGGAAATAATGGTTAAGATGATAACCCCAGAGAGAGGGGCAGGGGCCAGGTAAAGAAGAGAAATGATCAATCATGAGGAATTTGGATATTTGTTTCCTGTATCAGCAACTGTTACAGGATTTTCATAATGAAGACTGACTCAGTACATTTTCCCTTTTCAGAACATCAGTACAGGGAAGCTATTGGCTGGTTCGCCTTGAGGAGAACAGGGCTAGGATCTGAGAAGCCACTTGGGATGCTCTTTGAATGGTTTGCCTTCAAAGTCCTGCACTTATCAATCCCTCTGCATTTATTGTTCTGATTATTGATAATTGCCAAAATATAAGCCTAGATGATGTGAATTATATGACATCTACCAGCAAAAACTGCAATCATCCCTCTTATAATTTGCTTTCTCATCACAGATATGTCAAAAATTCTATTACTGCCATCTAATTTACTTTGGGGGAATGTTATAAAAATTATATTCTCCTTCCCCTTCTTTCTATTTAATAACAGGGACATACGCTGTTATTTAATCTATGTTTAGATCTATAGCATGATCAATTCACACATACCATATGATACACATATATTCATTCCACTTTCTATCAATTTTTTTTTAAAAAATATTCACAAATTGAATCACACTTCTAAATTCAGCCTTTTTGTTATTTTTTGCAGAGTGCCTGCAAAGTGGTAATTAAATATAGCTCTGAAATAACAGAAAAGTCAAAAACAAATATAAACTAACACAAGTATGCCTGCCTAAAATTATGAAAGATCTTTTTTTTTTTTAACTTCCACTGCGAACTTAACCCATTTTACCCAATCCTAATTATTTTTAAAGTGCATCTGCTTAGACTTCTGTAGTATTGCTACAAGTTGGCATTTAGGTTTATAAAAGGATTATTTGAAATTTAGATTTGGCATCTGTCAAAGAAAAAAATTAAAAAAACAAAACAACATTGTCATCTTATTGGATATTGTAATATAGCTACTAGTGATTGCTGAAATTTAACCAATCACACAGAATGACAGGGGGAAAACACCCAGGCAGGAACTTTATGTCAAAACCACGGAGAAAAAATAGCAAAAGTACTGCAAATTAATGCCTTCCTAGTGTAGTAGATCTTATTTTGATTAGCCCATGCAAAATTTATGGAGCCAGATAATCTGCAAACAGAGGCAATATAAATTTTTTTGTAAAGTACTGTCAGAAACTTT